CCTTTTACTTTGAAAATAATATGAAATTTCCAGTTTCCGTTCATTATCTCTCCAACGGTATTACACATTCAACTCGAACTTGACATATGGATATGTCATGTCATGAGAAAAACAGGTAAAGTTCGAATTCGGTCATGGTTCATAGATTTTTGGCAGAGTTATGCCCCTTTTACTTTGAAAATAATATGAAATTAGTTTCCGTCCATTATCTCCCCAACGGTATTACACATTCAACTCAAACTTGACATATGGATACGTCAAAGAAATGCACAGGTCAAGTTCGAATTTGGTCATGGTTCAATGATTTTGTCAGAGTTATGCTCCTTTCACTTTGAAAATAATATGAAATTTTCAATTTCCCCAACAGTATTACACATTCAACTCAAATTTGACATATGGATACGTCAAAGGAATGCGCAGGCCAAGTTTCAATTTTGGTCATGGTTCAATGATTTTTTGCAGAGTTATGTCCTTTTCACTTTGAAAATAATATGAAAATTTCAGTTTCCTTTCATTCTCTCCTCTAGAGTATTACACATTCATTTCAAATTTGACATATGGATACGTTAAAAAAATGCGCAGGTCAAGTTCGAATTTTGTCATGGTTCGATGAATCTTTGACAGAGTTATGCCCCTTTTAGTTCCCATTCATTATCTCCCCAACAGTTGTACATATTCAACTCAAATTAAAGATATGGATATGTCATAAGAATACAATATCGAATTTGGTCATGTTTTGATGATAGCTGACAGAGTTATCCCTCTTTAACTTTGAAAAAAAAATCAGAAATTTTAAGTTTCCGTTCATTATCTCCCCAATGGTTGTACACATTCAACTCAAATTTGACATATAGATACATCTTAGGAATAAGCAGTTCAAGTTTGAAATTGGTAGTGGTTCAATGATTTTGGACAAAGTTATCTTTCTTGAATGTTGGAAAAATTTTGAAATTTCAGTTTCAGCACTCATACTTTTGTGGAAATGTATGTAGCCATTATTTTGGCTATAAATATGCAATATGCAGTTTACAAAAGGTTAACACTGAATAGTTTCAGTGCCTTGAACTTTGTATAAAAATAGTTTTTGTTAAAATTGAATAGTTTTAAGGGCTTTGAACTTAAAATGAAAAAAATAATAATTTGTGCAAACAAATTTGGAACTAAATATTATAACATCTGAAATTTTGGCTGCATGTGGGGGCATTCGTGGCGTGACGACACATTTCTAGTAAAAACATTAACATTATCTTAGAATTATTATTATACTATAATAAAATTACAATCACAAAAGGGGTCATTTTTAAGTAACCTGTAAATTCAAGTGCAGATAACCTAATCTTTCTTCTGACACACCTTATTTTTACAACTGGTAAAAGTAGGCTTCGCCTGCTAGCGTTCATTCTGAAAATCTAAATACAATGCAAACAGAAAAAAGTTGCAGAGAAAAGTAGCACAATTGTTGTCTAACATTACACAAATTTTAACGACACACGTACAATAGCAATGGACAGGTTTTCACACTCAAAGGTATTATTGTAAGAAAATCGGCAACATTTGAGGACCTAGAGGAAATCAATATTGAGAAAAATGCACTAAACATTTAAGAATGGTAAAAACATTCAAGATCCAAGTTATATTTTACATGTTATGTGCATTTTAACACTGATTTTGAAGCATTTTTTCACAATATTTCTACTGCGTTACTAACGCAGTAAGGACTGCTTTTGCATATGTTGCCACTTTTTGCTAATTTTCGTGGATTATAAGTATCAATTGCAATATGTAAATTACTTTATATGTTCATCTGACATTATTTTACTTTTAAATACATTTCCATTTTTTTAATGAAAAATAACATAAATCTGGAGGCGTGCTGCTTTAATTTGTTAGCCGGTACAGTATAGCCGGTATATGTATTATTATTGTATAATTCTAACGCTCGAGAATTTCGTGCAATTTCACACTTGAAGGGTTACTACATTTTATACATACTTAGTAACAGAGATATTTATATTGTCCAAAAAATTCGTGCACTGCTGTTATTGTCGTGAGAGTTATTTATAAAAACAAATTATAGACTATATTATATATCACTTGAAGGGGAAATCGGTCTCAAATAAGAAAACAAAAGAAAAAGCCGAGTAACCGGGGTGTCGTGTAAAAGAATGGTCATTGAGTTAACATTTTCCACCAGTGCACGAATATATTAGACAACCCTCGTCACATGCGCCGGCATTACGGACGGACGTCTGCCTGACCAGTTGTCATCGTCTACCGACTCTCGCCCTTCTACAGAGCGTTTGTGCCATTTAAAAACCTGCCTTCGTGATACTGAACTTGTTCCGCTTGCCCTTTTAAGTTCTTTGTAGGTATCTGTTGGTGTTTTACCAATATTTGCACAAAATTTAATGATGGTCTGTATTTTCAGACGTTTAGCGACTGACATTTTCACGTAATTACAGTATTGACGACCACACACAAATGTTTGTTTACGACCGTTACAATAGGGCAAATGACGTCATATTTTCTAGTGACGTTAAGAATACGTACACACACTTTTCCCTGAATTTTAACGTTTATATGTACATAGTGTTTAAAGAATACCGTGATGCATCAAATTCATGAACTAACCTATTTTTTTTGTCGTGCATCGGTATTACGTTACCAAGGTAACTGTATGACGTTTCGTTTGCACGACATGCCAGTTAAAAGTTTTTATCTTTAGTTTTCTTATTTGAGACAGATTTCGCCTTTAAGTGATATATAATTCATGTTTTCTTTCAATAACTCTCACGACAATAAATGCAGTGCACGAATTTTTTGGCCAACCTTCGTACATACGACGATGATGTTGGGGGGGGGGGGGGGGGTAATAGAGCTCGTGTACGTCAGAAAGAATTACTTGTTGACAACAATAACGATGAGAGAGCAGTTCAAGACCAAGTTCAGCACTCAGTGCCAGCTGTTTCGAATAGTTCAGCAGGCCAACGTAATCGGCCGGTTCATCGCAGGGGGAAAAGGCGCTCCCTTGTAAATCAAATATGAGACAATCAGGCTCTCTAGAGGGATACCCCCTTCCGAACTTTGCGTCAGCAGTGACATCAGTGATGACATATACCTATAGCCCTCCTTTCACAACACTCAAAACTTTATTGCATGTTTGTCTTTGGTTGAAAAATTAGCACTACAATAAAGTCTATGAATTAAGAAATTTTATTTTATTTTTGTCTTTATATAAATTATGGTTAACTTGTCTTTATCTTTTATATGTTGATATGTTGAATTTGAGCATACTGTTCATTCTATCTTATTCCATGCATTTATGTTTTGAGAAAACCCCCATCAAATTATTTCGTATTAAGAAATATGTTTACGAAGTCCGTTAAAGATAGAAAGGTCTATTATGAAATATACTGTAACTCAATATGTAAATATAAGTAAAAATTAAATATGATGTTAACGTCCATGGAATCGCCATCTGTAAAATAAAATAAAAAAAGCCATAAAAATTGATATTTCTACAAACATCAGTACGTTGTAAAGGCTTTGTTTCATATTTAATTCTACATTAAATATATATTGCATGCAGTACCTTTAAACTGGATTGTTAGGCTCCGCCTACTTAGTGTACTGACCAATTGACTTCATATTGTTAGACAGTCTTAGAAATAAACTCATAGTATCAACATCTCGTATTCTCTGCATCCACACCAAATAAACAAACATAAAACAGGCTTTGACGCTTGTAAGCTTATAATCAATTCATAACGAAGCAATATATATATAGCTTTGGTTGCATCCCGGTCCGCTGGTCTTTCTGCGGGCATCCCTCCTTTTTTATTTCGAGTAAGAATTATTAATCATACATTATAGACAACAAAGTTTATGACTGTGTATTTCCCTGGCACTGTCTGGTTTTTTTTCCTCAGGAGTTTTCGTTTCATAGAAACTGCCTTGCATTCTCTTAAATAATAGAAACTAAAGAAATACATGCTTCTACAAACATCCACAAACAAATGTTAAGATGTCAATCAAAACGACGGAGTATTAGCCAAAGATATGAATTTTGAGCAAAAAATAGGTCACAGTATACGGCGGTCAATGAGAACCTAAATGTACAGTAACCTAAGACAATAATGAAAGGAGACAGCCCTTAAAGGGCTGTTGTTGCCAAGCAAAGGGCCCTGCCTTACAAGCCGGCTATCTGTGCTAGAGACTCAAGCACCCTAGTATCATTCTCGTGTTTTCTGCCTACATCGTTAGGCCATTCCCCTCGCCTTTAAATAGTCAGGACATCGGCAGCTGGACGAAGTAGCAGTCACGATAACAGGCAGGGTCATTTACGTTTACTTCCGCCTAGCCGCAAATCCTCTGCCAATGCCATGTGTCGTCTCAGCAACGTGCACGCAACGAGGGGAAGTGAGGAATTCACGCTAACCTGTTTTTTCATTTGAAATCAAACAAAGCGTAAAAATCTAAGCGCAAACAATTTTTTTTTCATTTTTGAAACATCATTTAGAAATAAACTTTCAGCGCTTTTTGTGATAACGAGTATAAGTGAAGCATTATTTTTTTCCAAATAACAATTTAAAACTATGTCAATTTGACAACAATATATTACTAGTATTCGGTGTTCTTTTTTATAGGTTATGTAAAGAAAACATAGTTATTTTATATTATAGTTTATATAGCAGACCGCATTCATTAAACATCATTTTTAAATTATGAAATAAAAGTCACGACAAAGATCTTAATTAAAGAATATAAGTAAAATGCTGCAAGAGGAGCAAAAATATTTGAAGGATATCAAACATGAGTCAAACACGAAAAAATATACATGTGCTGAGATTTTAAGAAAAACAAAAAGATTCAAGTAATAATTTTCATGTTATGTGCGATAAATGATTGATTTTGCAGTACTTATCAACATCTTTCTACCTTTTTTTGGGGTAATTTACTGGTTGCAAGTACTATTTGTTATATGTAAATTACTTTCTTTGTTCACATTACAATTTTTTTACTATTTAATATATTTTCAATGTTAAATGAATTTGAATTTTCACTTTGCAAACTTATTACTGATGACACCATTTGTAAATAATGCAATAAACATGTATAATATACATGTCCTACCTACCTAGCATTACTTTATGTTATAATCAAAATATTATATGTGAGGTCAGATTACAGAAATTTTTAACGTACGCTTGTCATATATGATGAACATACATAGCAGAGCCATATATAATTTTGACTGGGGTGTACGGAAAGGTGCAGTTTTGTGCCACATGTTGTTTAATGTATTATATAGGTGATGGATACAGCTGTTGCTGCTAAGCCACATATGGGCGGGAGCATAATGGTGAAACGGGTTTTGGAAGTCCAACAAGTATCTACTATATAAGTAAAAGGTTTCTATTCGATCTACACATTTGAATATAAGCAATATTCAGTTGACGATCGTTCAGATTACATGTAGGTACTTTTTAATTTTTGTAAAACATACTAGTATGGTGGGAGCATTTTTCTTACTTTACTTTCACAAATGTATAACATAGAGGATATTTGTTTGTTTTGCATGCAAGATTGAAATATAATTTCACCGAGTCAACACGAGATGCAATATTTTCACGAGTGGCGTAGCCACGAGTAAAAACAGAATAGCTGGTGTTCACGAATGAAATATTTTCCAATCTTATATGTAAAACAAATAAATTTTCTTTTTATTTCATGCTTTTTAAGTTATTTTAAGTATTTTTTTTACTGCTTTTGCCGCGCATTCTCCTTTGTGACGTCATATCATCAATTTTAAAATATAGTTCTGTTAAAGTTCACTAATTTTGTTACATTTTTAACATGATGTATAATGACATCGACTTTCTTTTCCTAAAGAAGCAAAATTTACGTTCGACGGCTTTTATTTCTGCCTGTTATTACATTTAGTTATGATTTTCTTTTCATCCGCATTCCGGCTACAGTGAACATTATATATATTTTATAAATTTCACTAGTGGTTTATCAGAATATAATCATCTGATATATTACAATAAAACACTGGAAAGCATGAAATAAAACTCCTTAAACAACAAATACTTTCATTTTTTGACAAAATTGACATATTTTCTTCACACATTTTATTATTCTATAATTTCAGTAATACCTTTGAGATAAAGATGGTACGTTTAACACTCGTATTGTTGTTTGTTGTTGCTGTTGCTTTTGTTGTTGCTGATGAGGATGAAGACAATTCCTGCACCGAACTTAAGTAAGTAAATGCATTATAAATTTGGCTAGTGATCAAAATATATCCACTCAAGAAGCGGATGGTGAACACTGTTCAATCGGACATGAAATTTTAGTTTCGTATGATTTAATACGCCCCATGGTGGACAATGCATTGTAGGAGCACATTTTTCTCGGAGCACATTTGTCTCACGAGGTGTGACCGATGTGCTCGGAAACATTCATATTTGCGACAAATTGGAAATGAGACAGGTGTGTTCGACACAATAGAAAGGACACTCGAAGCATATTTGTCTCACATTCTTCAATAAAATTCTAAAAAGGTAATAATTATGCCCGTCCGTATACAAGCTTCCAACCAATGTTCTGTGTTCTGTGTATTCTATATTTCTAATACCGTTTTAGGTCACTTCCGGTAAATCAAAAACTGCCTGCCACTGCACGAGAGTCAAATATTAACTTAAAGAATATCTTTGTTCTGCATGTCACAATGAAAATTTATCCACAACCCAAACACATATACAGCGAGTCCATTCTTTTCGTTATTTATTGTGACACGTTTCTTTCCGATGCTTAAAGTTTTATAAATGATTTAAGAAACATTCTAACAACAAGGTAGTATCGACGGTGGCATAAAGCGGACATATGAATTTCTATTAGGTTCGCAAGCAATAGTTATTACGTGGCCATGCGATACTATAATCCGTGCGCACGCATTAACTATTACATGCGCATGCGGATAGGTATTCCGCATTTGGACCCTGAACGGGCATCCTAACATAAATGGTTCGACGCCTCGAGCGAGTGTTGAACCTACAGCGTTTAGGGGCAAGTTGTTTTTTGAAATCACTCGGTCACGGAGGCCCTTAAATGATGTAAGGAAGAAAATGAGAAGAACATCCCACACGTATTTTGTTTTGTTTTTTAAAAATATCGCAATTTTCCGAGAATTGCTGATTGAAAAAGCACTTTGCATCAGTTCCTAAAAGAATCCGGGTGATGCCATAATTATGGAACATTAGGCCTCGCAGAATCGGGCGAGACGGACATTCAGACGAGCCACAAAGGCAGGCACGATATTGTAACACGAGATCTCGCAATGTCGAAGTATCCTTACGACATTTCACGGTAGAATATCGTGCCTCGCTTCATGTTTTGCCCGAATCTCGCTTTTCGTGTCTTTCGGTAAAATATCGCGCATCGCTTCGTGTTTGTGCGTCTCAAAGGCCTGGTAATGGTAAAGGCCACAGTGCCGGAGCCATCTGGCATTGGACAGGTTATTGGACACTATTTTTATCTGCATGGAACAGACGTCTAAATTTAAGCTGTTTTCTGTTTAAATTTCATCATGGATATGTTTTTGACATTTTGGTAGAAAAATGCGAGCAAAGGTTATATTTGATGAAGTGAGTTTCAATTTTAGTATTGGTGGTTCTCCCACGTCACAGCAGTGTGATTTTTAAGTGATTTTACAAATGTGACGCTAGAACTGTTTCTTAGAAGATATACATTTTATAGCAGTTTTATAATAACTTTTTAAAATGAGATATAAGGATTTGACCTTTAAAATGGTTCTCGCTATGTTTTAATTGTAGCTCTTTGAAAAATGTCAATATATTATATAAAATTAAAAGGGAATACTATTTAGCGGTTTATGGTCACGAAGGATTTTCTTGTCTCGCGTCGACGTACAAGATGTGAAACGAGACGCGAGATGCGAAACGAGCCACGATATTGTATTGTTTAAATTATATCGATTGATTACGGTGTTCCGTTTGGACATAAGTAACATATTGTCTCCCTGAACCGCTATGCACGATGGTACACTGATGAAAGAGCAATACTACGATGGTACATCAAGTTTTCATCATCGTGCCATCTTTATTTCGCCATCGTACCATCGCGCTTTCACCATTGTATCGTCGTGAACGGGTTCCATATGTTTCAGTGTACGCCTTCAGGTTCAGCCAATCAAATTTCTTGAATTTATAAGAGATATTAGAATAAGTTGTTCCACTGTAGGTTTTAAGATATCATAAACCTATTGATGATTACACTTGACTTGAGATAAAACGGCGAACCTCGATTCTAAAAAATATTATACCGTGGGAAAATATGCGACAAATAATTCATAAAAATGACAAGAGGCAATATATTGTGCTTTCTTGTCCCTTAAAACACATGAGACAAATGTGCTTTCTTGTCCCTTAAAAACTTGATCGGAGCACATTTGTCACACAAATAAGTTTTTTGGGGCAGACATTTGAAGTCCCATTTGTCTCATATATGGGACAAATGCGACCGCATCGGTCTTACGTAAGACAAATGTGCCCGAGTCAAATGTGCTCCATAAAGATTGGGAGTATAAAGCTATACCAAAGTAAATCATGTCCTTGAAGCTATATCTTTGAAAAAAATCTCAATTAAGAAAAGCAGAAAGAGTTAAGTAAGAATACAAAGTATAATATTCCAACAGCTTATACAGTAGGTTAAGCGATGATGATCTAAATTTGAATTTCATATCCAGATCATTCGTTCATATTTCTATATTCGATATGAGTGAATATATCTTGTGAATACTGACCGCCCAGTAAAGAGACACATATAGATAACATAGGATAGAACAGATGTTTTGTTTGTTTCATTTTACGCCTTTTTCCAACAGTATTTCAGTAGTTTCCTAACCATCGAGAGTTACACCAGTACAAGGCGCTAATATACCAAAGCATCTCCCGGGGATCGAACCCACGGCATAGAGGTAACTGGAGAGAACAGAATTGTTATTCATAAAATCTATTAAATATCACCATACATAATTATGCCATATTTTATTTTGCAGAGATTGCCCTTGTGGAAGTATTTGCATTGATGGTGCATGCACAGAGGGTACGTACGTTTTATCATATTGCACACAATATTAGAAAATTAAAAAAATAAATATATAACGCAATATAAAATTATAATAATCTGTAAATAAGTAATTATTACATATTTTCATTAGAAAATGATATAAAGATAGCTTATGAATAGCGATATTTAAAATGACAATTTTAATGTGTAAATATGTCAAAATTAAAGACCGTTGCATATGTGCACGACAGGATAACAGTAACATTATTAAAATGTTTGTTAATTAAGAACTTTTCTATATCTGCTAAAATCATTAGTTTCATGTTGAAGAATTATTCTACAGTAACATTTCACTAACTAAAAATGTTTGCTGATTTTAGGTTGCATGTTGTACGACAAATTTATGCCGGCGGGTTCCGAGTCAGAGGTGTACGGCAGAAAATGTCATTGTGGTGATACTCCCGACGAGAAAGGAATGTTGCTAGAGGTAATATCACAACTATAATTATATGTGTAGTTTCCTCTGTTTACAACAAATTGTTTTTGTGCAATATTCTTCTTATTCCTCCATCATATGTGGGCACATCTGTGGGTCTGTTTATTTCTCACTAGATGCTCTCGTTTAAGTGTGAAAGCTACCGCTTAGATTATACATTAACATCTTTGACAAACAATCATTGAAATACTTAAATATCACATTTAAATTATCTCTAGATGCCACTTAGTTCGTTAAATATTTGAGATTTTGATATGATATGGTGTATTCAAGATTTTATTTGTATTTTTTTCTCTGTATAGTGTGCAGAAAATGTAGAGTTTGTAGGCGCTCCTGAAGGCGTCGCTGAATGGGAGAACAACCCTGCTTGTGAAGTGACCGCCGAGGAGGCCCCGGCTGATGCAGCCACCGAAGCACCCGCTGCTTAAATCATTTTGACGTTCATTTAACACAAAGTTCACGACCGCATGTCATGTCAACTTTCATTTGCATCACATAATTATTATGAAATAAATTATGTTTACTTTACGTGAAAACACTTTGCTTTATTTTCAAGAAAAAAATATTTGACCATAAAAATTAGCACAATTCCTACATATTTTAATAAAACAACGACTGAAAAGGGTATAGTTTTGGTTTATGTTACTGTTATGCACCACGGCCCTCACTTCCTGGGAAGATTAACTGCAATATGGGCCGGTCGTCATACGCGAGATGTTTATTTAGGAAATAGATATCAATTATGAGTGCATTGTTGTAGAATAATGCACGGTTTGAGTTCAAATGCCACCGAGTCCAATCGTTCACTATGTTTCCCAGGCGGAGAACGCATGAAGAGATCAATTTTACAGGTGGAAAACCGATACTGTGTTTAGAAAATTGTCTTCAATTTCTTTGAAAATGCATATTTCACAAAACTTTATAGCCTATTCTGATCTCGTATGATTACTTTATCCGACAGGCATCTCAAATTCGCCAAATCTTTGTTAACTTATTAGATCATTATCGACAACTGAACAAGAAAAGTCACAAAATTGGTAAAATCGCTCTTTGATAGCCAATAACTTGACAGCCAAGCAAACTTCTAAACATTTGTATCGCTCTAAAGGTTCTTTATTAACATATCCTCATCCACCAAAAGCCTGTTCTATTTCTATTCCGTATTTTTGGAGTATAATATCGTTTAAGCGAATTTTCAAAATGAACGCATGAGCCGAACTTTTCATGTGGTTTCATAGGTTTGCAAAATGAACGCATGAGCAGGTGGTTATTTTTTAAAACTCCAATTTTTCCTAATTATCTAACAAATTAAACATATACAAACTTTAAAAATTTCAAATTTTATTCCAAATAAGTGAGAGACACTTCATTTTTACAAATTAAAATATACTTTGTACGCTGTATATATATGCTAATAAGCAAAAGTACGAGGTCTGTTGGGAAAAAATTTGTGAAATTGAAGTAATTTTCTCGTTTGTATATTTGCAAAAGCAGTGGTTTAGACGACAAAGAAAAGCATAATAGTTCCTCGAAAACTTGTAAACGATTGTAGCATTGATGTAATTTCATGAATTTCTCCATTACATGTTATTTCATCCCTGTTTTTATAGTATGAGCATATGAAAATAAATTATACACGAAATCACGTTTAAATATTCAACATTTCGATATAAAGGTTCTTTTTAAACAACAAATTACAAGTTTATAGAATAATGTTTATGTAAGCCCAGTAAATCTTGGTAGTGTACATATAGTGCTATACGCCGTCCAATGCAAAGGTACAATTCATTGATAACTAAATTAAAGCCATTTTAATGCGAAATTCATGTAGCATGTCGACATGCTTATGACTTGGTAAGAAATAATAATTGCACTGTGCAAATTGTCTTGTACATAATATATACGCAAGGTGTTTTTTTTCCCTCATGGCCAAAATTAAATCTGTGAATATACATATAATCAGCTTTAATGAACAACCTGTTATTGAATAACTTAAGCAAATGAATAATAAAATAATACATAAAACGAAGAGATGACTAAGTCTTGTCATGTTGAATAAAATCAACAAGTGACGACATTAAGCTGATTTATATAATAATCTAATAATCTTATATGACACTTTGAAAATAAAGTTTCCTTTTAAAAGGAATGGCTTGCACAGTTGTGCCTTCATCCCAACCCTTTAAAATTGTTTTTTTGTGTTTTTTTGTTTCAATTTATTACCACATTTTTTTTAAATTACGGTAGTTGTTTTTTTTTTTTTTTTTGGAAAACCGAATATTTTTTGTCAAAACGATTTGAAATCTATTTTCTATTGTTTAAAACTAATAAAGAAAATGATCAACTGTAAATACTAACGTGATACTGAAAGAAAACAAGTGTGCACATTTCATTTCTCCCTTTTCGCAGCGAAATCATTCCTTTGCTTTATAGACAAGTAAATGCACTTTTAAAAACTTCGTTAGTGGTTTCCAATTTAAAAAAGCAAAGTTCAACTATGTTTCACCGATCACAAATAGACCGGGTGCCCCTTATTGGTTTGGGATCCCGCCCCGTGGGAAGGTAAATGATATGCCCTAGCCTTTTTTAATTACCTTTTACGGCCTTTTTTCCGTTAAAATCAAATATAACTCGATCAGGAGTTTATTTTGGTTAAACAGGAAAACCAAAAATTTTTTTAAGAAACCCCCAATAAATACTACATCACCATTCTCTATTGTATTTTAAAAATTTAAAACAGATAAAAAAAAATTATAACAGGGAAAATAACTTTTACGTTTTTGAAAAAAAATTGAAACGGAACAATTTTTTTTTTTAATTATTCCCCGGGTTTTAAACCCCAAAAAATCCCCAAAAAAAAATAGAAATCCTATTTATATAAACAAACTGGGATTACCGAAGTAACTAAAATAGCTTAAGATTTCCGTAATATTACTTCGTTTTGATTCCGCAGTATGACGGAATCGCCCGAATTGTCACGATTGCAATCGGAACTACATCGGCTATTATCATTAATTCGAAGAGTGACGGAAAAGGCCGAACAGTTGCGATTGGCACGATTGCAGCTGGTTTCCCGTTCAATCATACACAAACAGATGTAAGCAGGAAACCACCTAACCGAAACAAGTTTTCCAAATGAAATGGCTTGCACCAAAAATCCTTGATTTTTGCACGCATTGTACGCATTGTTAATGACTGTTTTTACAAAAAATGTACTTTGATTATTAAATCATGAATCCTGAATAATTGTATACAATTACTATCATACATGAATAATATTAAACAACAAATACAACAAAGGACAAATGACAAATAATAGCGTATGTATACTCTTTTAAAGTCCCTGTACCTCAAAACTTTAATAGTTTAATATGATAAATCCTATACTCAAATAAAGAATTACCAATATTACAAATCTTATATAGATATTATCGTCTGTAAATAATTAATAACTAATTAGGTAATTAGAAACACATTTTGATAAATACTTTGCCCATTCTTCATTAAAATAAAAAGTGTATTATTTCTAAAAGAAAAACTTATAATGAACCAAAAAATATGTGTTATTTCAACATTTTCTTGTATGTTCATTTTGTTGTTAGGAAGGTGATATATATATATATATATTCTTGCTTAAAGATCCTGTATGTTATAATTAAGGATGTAACATCCTTGCGAAAGTTGTATATAAAGTCGGTTCTTAGGAAAAACATATACTGAAGAAGTTGACATTATAAACACATTATATGATATTTCTTGGGGAAAATAGGTTGTGAAATTTTATTTGAATGCAAAACTGATTTTTTTTACCAAAAACAGATTTCTAATTATCTCCTTTTATCATCGGAAATTTTAAATTTTGACAAAATCCTTATCAAAAAGGTTTTCTGTAACTTTTAACATTCTTAATTCTTTATTTAAGCCATAGATTTTTCATATAAGAACATAAAATTTTGAGTCATAGGATCTTTAAGTGTATGTTATATCTTTAATTATAACATACTGGAAATTTAAGTCCCATCAACCAATGATGTTGTATTTTGCAAATAGTTTACTCAAAGTTTTAGCAATGAGGATTTATTTTATTTTCACTGAACCGAACAGATCTTCATCTATTGCTAATTAGCAATTCATCATAAGGTATGAAAATAAGGACTTCTGTTTACTCAAACATTTAGAACGAAAATTTTGGAATTTTAAGGTTAAGTGATCGATTACATGTGAGATATCCATGAAAGCTGGAGTAACCAAAAAATCCACCTGCTCATGCGTTCATTTTGCAATCTGATGAAACCACATGAAAAGTTCGGCTCATGCGTTCATTTTGAAAATTCGCTTAAACGATATTATACTCCAAAAATACGGAATAGAAATAGAATAGGCTTTTGGTGGATGAGGATATGTTAATAAAGAACCTTTAGAGCGATACAAATGTTTAGAAGTTTGCTTAGCTGTCAAGTTATTGGCTATCAAAGAGCGATTTTACCAATTTTGTGACTTTTCTTGTTCAGTTGTCGATAATCATCTTATAAGTTAATAAAGATTTGGCGAGTTTGAGATGCCTGTCGGAAAAAGTAATCATACGAGATCAGAAAAGGCTATAAAGTTTTGTGAAATATGCATTTTCAAAGAAATTGAAGACAATTTTCTAACCACAGTATCGGTTTTCCACCTGTAAAATTGATCTCTTCATGCGTTCTCCGCCTGGGAAACATAGTGAACGATTGGACTCGGTGAATGCGTAGTGATATAATCACGAAGGCCGACAGACCTGAGTGATTAATTACAAAGCATTTGAACGAAAAACGTGCACTATTATACAATAATGCAATTATTATACAAAAACGTGCATTATTATACAATAATGCACGAAGAATTAATATCTACATGTATTTCCATTCTAACACGTCAAGAAAAATAAAGTTGGACTTTATGTTTGGTGGTTAAATTTGTTTTCGCCTCAGAGTTTCCAATAGAAACGTTCTTTAAAGGCTATTCAAGTGAGTTGAAAAAAACCTGTTGTAAAATCTACCGTGTGTAGAAACATTTTGAGAAACATTTTGAGAATAACGGATTTTGAAAATGTTGATAAAACTTTGTTTGTTTATTTTATTTCACTCTAAAAAATTACTAGAAGTTAAATAAATGTAAAACTTAACTCGTTTGCGACATTAAAATAGGGTACTTGATTTGATTGTTTTGCACGTGTTGTTTGGCGCTACATTGTGACGTCACGTAAACAACACTTTAAACGTCTGTACAGCGTTAACGACTGAATTAAAGATATTGGTTTTCGGGTTCATTTTCTTAGTTAGACTATTTTCTTTTATTCTAGATAGTTTTTACAACAAAATTCGACAAAAAATTGTTTTAATGTATCAGATTTTTCAAACGAAATTGCGTCCTCAATCTGAAAAAACACAGGGAGATAATAAGAACGGCGAGTGCATTGTTGTAGAATAATGCACGCTTCTGGCCTTCTTTGTTTATATAGAAAAAATTCCGATCGCCAGTAAAATGGATGTAGATCAAC